AAAAAAAAAGATGGCATTACTATGTTGCACTGATGAAGAGTGTTTCCCCCCTCCTCTTTCCAACTTGTCCCCTCCCCAGTCCAGCACCATGTATGTGTCTGATGAATTAAAAAAACAGGATCTGGTGACCAATTACACATGGGACTAGGAATGGAGAATAGCTACCCAACAGCCCTGTGGCCTGTGCTCAGCACTGAGTCCCAGATTTGTGCCCAACCAGACACATCACATTGGATCAACAGGGCCTGGCTGCTAACACTCTTCTGGGCCTAAACAAAGGTGTGAGCTATGTAGATACTCGGGAGCTCTGGTAGCATAGTGCCAAGGCACTTGACTGCTAACCAGGAGGCTGGCGGTTCAAACCCACCGGCCACTCCTCGGAAGGAAGGTTGGGCAATCCTACTTCTGTAGTGATAACTGCCTCGGAAACCCAAGGAGGGGTCTCTAGGAGTTGGGGCCGACTCGATGGCAAATAACAACATGTAGATACTATACTCACTGGCTACATCCACAGCAGGGTGCACTTCCTGTTCCTCAAATAGTGAGAAGGTGCTATTGGGAGGGCTATGAATAGCAGACTGGCCATGGCTGTTGGAGAAGACCTGGGGCCAGGTCTGGGATGAGGCATCCTGTGTGGTCTCTGGGACTCCAATCACTTTATCCATTTTATGCATCTTCCTTAAGATGCTGGTGGGATAAGGACAGAAGGAAAACTAAAGGTCAACTGGATGCCACAGCTATACTGTTTTCATAGCTCATAGAAGCCCCAGAAGCCAAGCAGTCCCATCAGAGAAGAAGCCAAACAATCCATTTCTGTTTGGGGACAAAGAGTCAGAGGAAAGTCCGAGTAGGACAGTAAAGAGGACTGTTTGTTCCTGAGGAAGAAAGAAGACTTTTCAGAGCCTTCAAATAACACTCATGATTCATTCGCAAGACATCCAGAACCTATAAGATTTCAACTCACTCTGTGAACACAATTAGTTAAATAATATTTGTAATGGTCCATTTAAAGCCAGCTCTTGAGGCAATGTAGCTTCCTGGGTGCCTTGCAGAGACACACTTCCTTTAAGTATGTTATTGTCATTAGTTGCTGTCAAGACTTTTGTTGTTGTTGTTGTAAAAATACATATAACACAACACTTGCCAATTCGACATATTTCAGGTGTACAATTCAGTGATATCAATTATATTAATCATGCTGTGCAACCACCACCCGTAACAGTTGTGAAATTTCCCATCATCCTAAACAGAAAATCTAAACAATGACTCCCTCTTTCCTCCTCCCTCCCATTCCTGGCAACTACTAACTAATAAGTTTTGGTTTCTATACATTTGCCTATTCTTGTTATTTCATATACGTGAGATCATATGATATTTATGTGATTGACTTATGTTACTCAGCATGTTTTCAAAGTTCGTTCATGTTGTAGCATGTATCCGGAGTTCATTTCTCTTTATGACTGAGTACCATTCCATTGTATGTATGTACTGAATTTTGTTCATCCATTCTGATGTTGATGGACATTTAAGTTGTTTCTATCTTTTGGCTGTTGTGAATTTTGCTATAGTGAATACTGGTAATATATGTGTCTATTTGCATCTTTGCTTTTTTGCCATTGTCTTAGTTCTCTAGTGCTGCTATAACAGAAATACCACAAGTGAATGGCTACAACAAACAAAAATTCATTCTCTCACAGTTTAGGAGGCTAGAAATCAAATTTCAGAGTGCTGGCTTCAGGAGATTTTCTTTTTCTGCATCTCTTGATCCTAGGAGGGTCACAGCTCAGGGACCCTAGCTCCAAAGGATGTGCTTCCCCCTCAGCTCTTCTTTCTTGGTCATAGTAGGTCCCCCTCTCTCTGCTCACTTCTCTCTTCTTTTGTCTCTTCCAAGATAAAAGGTGCTGTAGGCCACACTCCTGGAAACTCCCCTTACATAAGATCAGGGCTGTGATGGGAGTAAGAGTGTTGCATCCCATCTTTATGGGAATATCTATTGAGATGTTTCAACAAACGGATGTAGTGCTGGAAGCGCTTACTCACCTGTGCCAAGAAATTTGGAAGACAGCTACCTGGCCAACTGACTGAAAGAGATCAATGCTTATGACCATCCCAAAGAAAGGTGATGCAACAAAATGTGGAAATTATCAGATACCATCAACATCACATGCAAAATTTTGCTGAAAATAATTTAAAAACAGTTACAGCAGTATATTGACAGGGGATTTCCAGAAATTCCAGCTAGATTCAGAAGAGGATATGGAATAAGGGATATCACTGCTGATATCAGATGGATCTTGGCTGAAACCAAGAATACCAGAAAGATACTTACCTGTGCTTTGTTGAATATGCAAAGATGTTAAACTGTGTGAATCATAACAAATTATGGATAACATTGCAAAGAATGGAAATTCCAGAACACTTAATTGTGCTCATGAGGAACCTGTACTCAGACAAAAGAGGCTGTCATTTCTAATACAACAAGGGGATACTACATGTTTTAAAATCAGTAAGGGTATGCATCAGCGTTGTATCCTTTCACCATACTTATTCAATCTGTATGCTGAGCAAATAATCCAAGAAGCTGGATTATATGAAGAAGAATGTGGCATCAGGATTGGAGGAAAACTCATTAAAAACCTGCAATATGCAGATGACACATCCTTCCCTGCCAAAGTGAAGATAAGTTGAAGTACTTACTGAAGAAGATCAAAGACTACAGTCATCAGTGTGGATTACACATCAACATAAAGAAAACAAAAATCCTCGCAACTGGACCAATAAGCAACATCATGATAAGTGAAGAAAAGATTGATGTTGTTAGCAATTTCATCTTAACTTGGACCCACAATCAATACCCATAGAAGCAGTAGTCGAGAAATCAGACTTCATATTGAACTGGGCAAATCTGCAGCAAAAGACCTCTTTAAAGTGTTAAGGAGCAAAGATATCACTTTGAAGACTAAGGTGTTCCTAATCCAAGCTATAGTATTTTTAATCACCTCATATGCATGTGAAAGTTGGACAATGAGTAAAGAAGACTGAAGAAGAGTTGATACTTTGAGTTATGATATTGGTAAAGAATACTGAAAATACCATGGACTGCCAAAAGAATGAACAAATCTGTCCTAGAAGAAGTCCAGCCAGATGCTCCTTAGAAGCAAAAATGGCCTGACTTTTACCCATTTTGGTCATGTTGTCAGAAGGGGTCAATACTGGAGAAGAATATCATGCTTGGAAAAGTAGATGGTCAGCAAAAAAAAGGGGAGATCCTTAATGAGATGTATTGACACAGTGGCTGCAATGATGGGCTTGAGCATTGCAAGGATTGTAAAGATGGCACAGGACTGGGCAGTGTTTCATTCTGCTATACACAGGGTCACTATGAGGCTAAGGCAACTTGAAGGCACCTATCAATTAACCCATCACATCACGGGGAATCATTACATCACTGTTATATTACACCATTACATAACTGCCAAACCACGGAGAATCATGACCCCACCCAGTTAACCCATATTTTGAGGGCCACAGATCCACCCAGCACAGGCATGTACCTAGGAATGCAACTGCTGGGTCAGTAAACTCACTCTTGCTCTTTTTTTGGCAAGAAAATTTGTAGCTATTTAACACCTGCCAGCACTCCTTGGGCCACCCTTGGATAAACCTGATACATACTCATTCTGGCATTTAAACCACCAGATGGAAGCAGAGGTGATCCCTATGAGTTCCAGAAATTACTAAGACCTGGATAGTTCACATTTAGGTTAGGTTATTAAGTTGGTGAATTAATGTAAAGATATGAACCAAAAGAATGAGAAATTTAAAAAATCGGAAATTAAATCCTCTGGTCCCTAAGGACACAATGGTTTGATAGATTAAAAAACAGTACAATAACCTGTTTGTGTTTTACTGAATGTGAGGGTATTTTTTCCTGTTCCTTTGATCTTCCAGTCCTTGCTTCTTATCTTAGTAATCTAGTACTGCTATAACAGAAATAGCACAAATGAGTTAACAAACAGAAATTATTTTCTTGCAGTTTAGGAGGATAGAAGTCCAAATTCAGGGTGCTGGCTCTAGCGGAAGGCTTTCTCTCCCTCTGCCAGCCCTGTAGGAAGACCTTTGTCTTTTTCTTTCTTTCCTTTGTTTTTGAGTCTGTGTTCCTGGGTGATCCTCATGTGGTTTGGCATCTCTCTTCTTCCATTTCTGTTGCTTGTTTGTTTGTTCACTTAATCTCTTTTATATGTCAAAAGAGATTGATTTAAAACATACTGTACACTAATCCGGCCTTGTTAACATAATAAGGAAAATCCATTCTTTGTTATAATGGAGTTATAACTACAGGCATAACCAAACCCAAAACCAAACCCGCTACCATGATTCTGACTCATAGTGACCCTAAAGGGCAAAGTACAGCTGCCCCAAAGGGCTTCCTAGGATGTTAAGTCTTTATGGAAGCAAATTGCCTTATCTTTCTTCTGTGGAATGGCAGGTGGGTTCAAATCACCATCCTTTTGGTTAGCAGCTAACTATTTTAACTACTGCACCACCAGAGCTCCTCAATACGGGCAGACTATAGTGCCTAAGGCACTTGACTGCTAACCAGAAGACTGGCAGTTCAAACCCACCAGCCACTCCTTGGAAGGAAGATTGGGCAATCTACTTCCATTAGTGATATCACCTCGGAAACTCAAGGAGGGGTCGCTGTGAGTCAGATCAGACTTGATGGCAGTGAGAATAGGTATACCAAAACAAAAAAAAAACCCCAAACTCACTGCCATCAAGTCAATTCCAACTTATAGCAACCTCCTTTGGGTTTCCCAGGTGGTAAATCTTTACAGAAGTAGATTGCCCAGTCTTCCTTCTGTGGAGTGGCTGGTGGGTTTGAACCTTCAACCTTCTGGTTAGCAGTCAAATGCCTCAGGCACTCTGCTACCAGGATATACCACACATATTTGGGGTGGGGGTGGGGGGAACACAATTCAACCCATAACAGTTTTGAATCCTTCACCAAATTACATCTCAGAAAATCCCTGAAAATTTAGCATTACCAGAGAGTCTGGAGCTCCTGCCCTGCTTCAGTCTTCTTACTTGCACAGTCATCTGAAAATCAAACTCAGAAAAGACCAGTCATAGTGGAAGTAGGTCTCATTTCATGAATTACAAGCAAACATTGGGTTCTGTCTGGGATCAGAGATGTGATTACTTAATGCTTGAGTCCAGGATACTCTGAATTTTCCCAGGAAATCTCAGGTTAGTCTTTCGAGAACTTATCTGGCAGACTTTCCTGAGCCTACCAGAAATATCACCATCTCTGCTTCCTCTTCCCTGAGTCAGAGAAAAAAGTTTAAAAAAATTTTGTCCCCATAGATCATGGAACACTTGTCCAGTGACCTCTGGTCCACTCCAACTAGTGCTTCCAAGTCCTGCAACAAGACTGTTTTCCAGAACTGTCATAGTTTTTGTGCAGAACCTATTCCTGTCTCTACTATATGTGCTGTCTGGTGCTTTCAGGTAAAGTTCTATATCAAAGGCTCCTGAAATACCATAATTTTTTGCATATAATGCATCCACATAAATAATGAGCACGTGCATATAACAGTGCATAGTGCACATAAGAAACTAACACTGGACAGGGTTGCAGTGGTTTGCAAAAACAACAAAAAAAGTATAATGTGTGCACTATTTTTGTAAAAATATGGTAATATTCCAACTACTAGGTACTTTAAAGGACCCCTAGTAGTGCTCACCTACTATTGTCATGTCATCAGAAGGGACCATTCTCTGGAGAAGGATATCATGCTTGGTAAAGTGGGGGATCAGTGAAAAAGGGGAAGGCCTCAATGAGATGGATTGACACAGTGGCTGTAATGATGGGCTCGGGTATAGTAGGGAGCATGAGGATGGTGCAGAATCAGGTAGTGTTTTGTTCTGTTGTATGTAAGGTCACTGTGAGTCAGACACGACTCAACGGCATCTAACAACAACAACAATATTGGTGCAATGGTTAGGAAGTTGCTACTAACCAAAAGGTTAGTGGCTTCACCCCCCTCAGAGTGGGAGAAATACCTGGTGATTCTCTGTGGGAGAAATGCCTGGTGATCTGCTCATATAGAGATTACAAATTAGAAAATTCTAAGGAGTAGTTCTATTCTGTCACATGGGGTCACTATGAGTCAAAATTGACTCGACAACACCTAGCAAGACCAGATACTAACATACACAGGCCTACATCATGCCAAAATCAGCATAATTCTTTTATCATTTTTTTGAAGCACACTTATTGATGTTGTATATTTGATTCTTAGAACAACTACGAAATCTTTAGGGGCTAGAATTCTTTGACCTAGTTTAATAGGTGAAGAAAAAGATCAAAAGAAATATTTATCTGTCCAGAGCTGGTAAATGACCACATCCAGGCTAGAACACGGGTTTGTAGATTTCTAATTCAAGTCTCACAACAAGCTGTTCCTGTTCACCCCTCTTTCTACCAGTTAGCTTCAAATGAATGCCATCACTTCCAGTGTTGTCTCCTGCCCTACCATCCATAGTTTACAGGAGAAGTTGATGATCATCATGGCATGCTCCACTCTATCATGACCCCAATGAGGTGATTACAAAGTAGGATGCTAGGTTGGAAAGTCACTTGTGGATGGGGCCAGGGGTTCCAGCTTTGGGAGGGAGACTGAAGGTCTCCCCAAGCCGCGTGAACAACTCACCAGTGCTGAATTTGCTGGCAAGAGTCTCTGCCAGCTGCCTTCCCTTGGTCAGCTGCTCACGAAAGTGCTGCTCTGTGTAGTGGTCAATGTTATTGCTGCTGAGTAGCTCCTCAAAGATTCTTACTGTGTTCTTGACATGCTGGATGAGAAGGGAACAGACAGCTCTCCCAATCCTCATCTTCTGCCATAGGTGGGTCAATTCTCGAGCCTGATCTTGAATTAAGGAATGATATTTCCTGAAATGGGAAAGAAGAGGAAGAGAGATTTTTCTAGTTTTCTACCCCAGAGGGTTTGTTACATTTTTGGGATAAGTTGTAACCAACTTGGTTTGATACTTTTTGCCTGGTCCTGAGCTGCAGGCCCCTCTGTGATTCGTATGCACCTTGCAGAGATTGGTCAATAGATTATGCAAATGAAATGTCTGTAGCCTACTATGCAAGTGAAGTGTCTGTGGCCTATCAAAGAGGCAATTGGTCAGTTCATGGCCTTGGTGGGAGGATCATGGCTTGAAATCAATGAGGAGCTTGTATATATTGTGTATATAAGCAGCCAAACCTACAGAGATTTTTCAGACAGAAAGAAAAAGAGAAGTGGCAGGAGGAAGCAAAAGGAAGAAAGAAGAAGCAGAGAGGAAGGAGCTCTTAAAAGAACTGTAACACAGGTCAAGGACTGTAACACTGAAGATGGTGACAGGCTGAAAGAGGCTTAGCAGCAGAGCCTGGGGCAACAGATGGCAGGCCAAGAGGAGGTCTTTTCCTGATGAGGTGGAGAAGAGGCTTACATGAGAAGAGCTGTCCTGCACTGAAGAAGGGATGCTTTGCTTACGTGCTTCCTGATCCTGAGTTGTACTCTGCTCTTTAATAAACCATTTAACTGTAAGTATAATCTGTGAGTTCTGTGTGGCCATTGCAACCTATTGTCAAACCTAGAGGAGAAGTAGAGAGGGTTGTGGGAGAAACTGCTGGTGTCAGAATTGTTTAAAAGATTGGAGACTGGAGATATACCTGACCCCTACTTCATAAGAATCAGCTTTAGTATGATCCTGGTCATTACCACCCCTGAATTTTGACAGGTTCTGATGATATAATTACTACTAGCATTTTACGAGCATGTAAGTAAATAAAGGAGCTCTACTGGAAAAATAATGGGAGTTTCAACTTTCAGCCAAACAAAGATGGGCCTATGAGGTGAACAATAACATCAGGAAGGTATGCACTTCTTACAACAATCAAACATAAGAGGTCAAAAGGGCAGCCTTTGCCCAGGGGTAAAGCTTGAAAGCCAGGAAGGGATAGGAAAGAAGGACAAAGGGAAACACTAACCACAGGAGGAAGTGGGAAGAGTAGTAGTGTTACATTGTGGGGATTGTAATCAATGTCACAACACAAAATGTGTGCGAGTTGTTGAATAGAAAACCAATTTATTCTGCAAACTTTCACCCAACTTGCAATAAAAAGTTAATAAAAAACAAAATAACAGGAGTTTTTTCACTGACAGAAAAGGAAGGTAAACTATGGAAATGAGGAAAGTTAGCATGAACTTTGTGTGGTATTGGATTGCAGTTGGAGCTTCTTTTGGTTACTTAGTGCTGCTCTGATAGGAATGTACCACAAATGGGATAGCTTTAACAAAGAGGAGTTTATTCTCTTACAGTTTGGGAGGCTAGAAGTCTGAGTTCAAAGTGCCAGGCTCTAGGGGCTGGGTGAAAACCAGCTTCAGCTCTACCTCTTGCTCCCGGCCCACAGAAGCTGGAGGCTTTTCTTCACTCAGGCAGCTGCTGACTGCTGAGGCTGACAAACCCAAGGTCAACAAATAACAAGGCACAGTCCCGATATTACCAAACTGCATGGCAGGCCATTGATTCAAGTCCCTTAAGGGTCCCAAGATTGGTAGACAACATGGCAGGCTAATGAACAATGACTCAGCTACATGTAGGATTCAAGAGTGCCATAAGCTGGAGACCTTCCTCTAGGTTGCTTCTTATATACTGGAAGCGGTCCACATCCCCTAAAGTAGCTACTCAGCTTATCCATGGAGTTAATTACCAATCTTACCATGGGGAGTAACTGTATCCAGCTGCCCACTCAACCAGGCCCTGTCAAGTTGACAACAACCTTAACTACCACAGAGCTAAGCTGTGAACTCATATATATCATATATATCTACATCTGTAAGGAGCTCTGGAGAAGCTCTAGTAGCATAGTGCCTAAGGTACTTGACTGCTAAACAAAAGGCTGGCAGTTCAAACCCACAAGCCACTCCTCAGAAGGAAGGTTGGGCAATCTACTTCCGTAATGATAGCGCCTCAGAAACCCAAGGAGGGGTCGCTATGTGTCAGGTCTGACTCAAGGACACATAACAACAACAACCACAACAAGGACCTCTGGTGGTATAGTGCCTGAGGCATTTGACTATTAACCAGAAGGTTAATGGTTCAAACCTGCCAGGCACTCCAGAGAAGGAAGGGTGGGCGATACTTCCATGAAGATTTACCATCTTGGAAACCCAGTAGGGGTTGCTATGAATCAGAGCCAATTGGATGGCAGTGAGTTTGGTTTTATCTATATCTGCATCTATCCATTTATACATTATAGATATAAATCTACATCTTGCTGTTGTTAGGTGCCGTCGAGTCATCACCAACTTATAGTGACACAGCAGAACTAAACACTGCCCACTTCTGTGCCAGCCTCATGATCCTTGCTATACCTGAGCACATCATTGCAGCCATTGTGTCAATCCATTTCACTGAGGGGCTTCCCCTTCTTCGTTGACCTTCCACTTTAGCAAGCATGATCTCTCTCTCCAGGGAATGGTCCCTCCTGACAACATGACCAAAGTAGGTGAGACAAAGTCTGGCCATTCTCACTTCCAAGGAGCATTCTGGCTGTACTTCTTTGAGGACAGATCTGTTAGTCCTTTTAGCAGTCTATGGTACCCTTAGCATTCTTTTCCAACACCACAACTCAAAAACGTCAACTCTTCTTTGGCCTTCTTTATTCATTGTCCAGCTCTCACACACATAAGAAGTGATTGAAAATACCATGGCTTGAGTTAGGCACACCTTCGTCTTCAAGGAGACGTCTTTGCTCTTCAGCACTTGAAAGAGGTCTTTTGCAGCAGATTTTCCCAATGCATTATGACGTCTGATGTCTTGATTGCTGCTTCCATTGGTGTTGATTGTGGAAGCAAGTAATAGGAAATCTTTGACAACTTCAATCTTTTCTCCATTCATCATAATGTTGCTTATTGGTCCAGTTGTGAGAATTTTTGTTTTCTTTATGTTGAGATGTAATACATACAGGAGACTGTAGTCTTTAATCTTCATCAGTAAGTGCTTCAAGTCATCTTCACTTTCAGCAAGCAAAGTTGTGTCATCTGCATATCGCAGGTTGTTAATGGGTCTTCCTCCAATCCTGATGCCATGTTCTTCTTCATATAATCCAGCTTCTTGCATTACTTGTTCAGCATACAGATTAAATAAGTATGGTGACAGACTACAACCCTGATACACTCCTTTCCTGATTTTAAACCATGCACTATCCCCTTGTTCTGTTCGAATGACAGCTTTCTGGTCCATGTAAATGTTCCTCATGAGCACAATTAAGTGTTCTGGAATTCCCATTCTTCTCAAAGTTATCCATAATTTGTTATGATTCACACAATAGAATACCTTTGCATAGTCAATAAAACACAAGTAAACATCTTTCTGGTATTCTTTGCTTTCAGCCAAGATCCATCTGACATCAGCAATGATATCCCTTGTTCCACATCCTTTTCTGAATCCAGCTTGCATTTCTGGAAGTTCTCTGTCAATATACTGGCTAGGAGCTAAGAATTTTTGTTGTATTAAGCCAGTAAGTTTGGAAATGCTTTGTAACATTAGATAACTAAGAGAGATTTTCTGCTTTTTCTAGAGTTTCTTGAAATGCCCTCAATCTCAGCATTTTCTCTGGCCCATATCAGGCAGGGGAAGGTGATATCCATTGAGGGAAAAATTACTTCTTTGAACTCATGTGAGAGAAGAGACCACTTGCTCCAGGCAGTAGAATTTTTCTCTCACTAGAATGACCTATCTGTATCTTTGCTATAGATAAGCAAAGCTCAATTGGCAACCAGCATCTTAATGGTCCTTTGATTTAACCACTGCATACTATCACTTCTGTATCATGTAGTGTAGCTAACTAGCAATTGCTTTGCCCTATGGGTTCAAAAGAGTTTAAAATGATCTGAACTAATTTAGAATTACATGACATCCTGTCCAAAAAAACTACCATTTGTTATAAAGAAGAGTAGAAGAGAGAATAGTCATTCATCTTGTCCCTAAGAGAGGAAAAGAAGTTAAGTGTCTATAGCAGGAATCAACAGATCTGAATTTTAGCCCCAATACACTCTTCCCTCCCACTGCAAACACAGGAATGTCACTTTACTACTTTGTACCTCAGTTTCTCCACCTATAAATGGATGGTAAAATACCTATTTCATCTTTCTAGAATTATGATAAGTATTGAAATTTATTTTAATGTTGGGATGAGTACAGCAGTCCATAAAGTGTTTAACTTATCAAAGAGAAGACAAATTATCGCTCATTACCATGGTAATGGTAAATTCATAAGACCAATTTGAAATCTGTGTTATTCTAGAGCACAACCATTACTCCTGATGTCATCAGTTCTCTTGGAGATTTTGGCAGTGCTGTCTATATTGTAAGGAGTGCGGGTAGCACTGTGACTAAGGCAGCTGACTTCTAACCAGAAGGTTGGTGGATCAAATCGACCAGCCACTCTGTGGAAGGAAGACTGGGCAATCTACTTCTGTAAAGATTTACTGCCTTGGAAACCCAATGGGGGTCACTATGAGTCGGAATCGACTTGATGGCAGTGGGTTTGGTTTTTGGTTTGGTCTGTATTGTGCCAGCAGCAAGCACAGATGCTGGTTGCTTTCTGAGAAGCTGAAATTTGCCTGAGGTCTAGAGTTGCTCATCTGGCGGAGGTCACCCAAGTGTTGGAAGAAGCCAAAGTGGAGATCAGGACAAGTTATCTCTCAGGCAGCATAGAATTTCTCTTGAACCTTTGAAACCACCCCATACTTCATTCACATTTCTGTTAAACATTTTTTCATGGTATTAAGCAATTATTTGTTACTAGAATCTGAGCAGTTTTGGTAAGCTTGATTTTTAAAATCAGCTTACAAAATTGCCAAATAGATTGTTCAGTAGATTTTTCAGGCTATCTTCAATGGCTGTTTTCCAACAGCTTTTTGAAGGCCTTCAGATAATATGGAGTTAATTCATTATATACTTTTCTGTGAGCTAGTTACTAAATCTGATCACTTACTTGCCTGTTGGTTTGGCTACAGCTTTGTACACCTCAAATTCTTCTCCATGCTCTATCAGGTCACTGCCTAATAGGCTCCAGTTAAATTTCAGTGGCTCAGAGAATAATGTCAGAGCTAAAATAACCTCAGAGGCTACTAGTCTCATTTCCTCATTTCAAAGCAGACAACACTCAGGCCCAAAGAGGCAGAGTCATTTGATCAAAGTTGCATAATAGCCTTTGGCAAAAATAACTTTAGAATCCTGGGCTCTCAATTCACAAAGCTTACATTCACTCTGCAAATACATTAAAAATGTTGATATTGATCACTCTAAATGTAAGTCATTTTTACCTGGAATCATGAGAAAATTGTTTGCTGGATTTAAGCTCTCAATACAAATTCTGTTTCATGTAAACTTGGTTAAGACACGCTGGGCAAGAATAAGGTGGCTGTTTGGTTCTATATTCAAACTCACAGTGTAACCACATGAAGGTATCATGAGGGAACTCTGATTTAAGTGTTCAACCTTGAGAAGTGCTGATAACACAGAAGATAGAATCTTCTATGCAAATATGCATAGCCTTATTTGCAATGTTAGAATAAAACCAAACTGAGGACAATGACGATGAATAACACCCTGCCATCAAGAGGGATCTGACTCATAGTCACCCCTCCTTGGGCTTCTGAGGCAGTATCACTACAGAAGTAGATTGCCCAACTTCCCTTCCGAGGAGTGGCTGGGGGTTTGAACCACCACCCTTCTGGTTAGCAGTCAAATGCCTTAGGCATTATGCCACTAGAGCTCCTAAAACCAAATTACTCCGAATAATATGAAGTAATTTATTATAAAAATGAATAGTAAGTATATAAAGGTCTTTAAGAGATATTTTAAAGAGAAAACTAAAGGATTTCCAGGAATATTTTAAGAGGAAGTCTTAAAATTAAGGTACAGAGTCTAGACACAGACCCTGAAGGCTCCTGTGACAGCACTTCCGTCAGTGGCCGTCTCTAAGCAAGGCGTCTCTTACCCACTCTGGAACACAGAGGAGAATCCTACTTGCTTGGGCTGTGTCTTCTGCTCATTCAGTCTCTTATCAGCAGGCCCTTTCTTCTCTAAAGGCTGATGCATCTCAGCCTTCACTTAGACCATTTTCTCATGAAGAACCCTCTCACTGCCTCCTTTGAAAGGAAGAATGGAAAAGATCTACATCTGGGTGTCCACAATGGCCAGGCTTTTCTCCAAAACTCCCTAGAGGAATTGAAACAGAATGATGGTTTAAAGAATTTATATTACTAAAGGGATCTCATAGGAGCAAAATAATCACAAGCATAGATTCTAAGGAGAAGAAAAGAGTCAAGCCTACAATGTGCCCCCTTGAAGAGTACCTCCTCGCAATGAGGACTTTGGGTTGGAGGACAGGTGCAGCAAATAGGCAGAGATGTTTCTATGAAGAGGAAGAGGAGAGTTCAGGGGCATTTAGAAGAAAAAAAAAAAAAAAACAATGAAATAAACACAAATGAAAGCAATTGGGGTGTAAATAGGGCTGAGGAATGAGTATTTTTTGTTACAATTGAGATCCAGTTCCCTGAGAGTTCTTTCAGAAGGGGCCTTTTTCATCACCTTCAAGGTTTGAGTGTCAGATGGCAGAAACAAAACTTGAGTTGCCAGAGCACAAATCCCAAGTCACTGACTATGGTCTGAACACCAACAAGAGTGCCATAAGAAGGACTCAGACTGCCAGGTCTCCAGTCACAATCACAGAATTAGAATGTTGTTGTTGTTGTTGTTAGGTGCTGTTGAGTTGTCTCCAACTTATAGAGACCCTATGTACAACAGAATGAAAACACTGCCCGGACCTGTGCCAGCCTCATGATCCCTGCTATACCTGAGCCCATTGTTGCAGCCACTGTGTTGATCCGTCTCGTTGAGGGCCTTCCTCTTTTTTTTGACCCTCCACTTTACCAAATATGATATCCCTCTCCAAGGAATGGTCCCTTCTGACAACATGACCAAAGCAGGTGAGATGAAGTCTGGCCATTTTCTCCTCCAAGGAGCATTCCAGCTGCACTTCTTCCAGGACAACCTGAGGAAGCCCTGCCTTCTGTTAGCCTACCGTACTCAACACAAGGCTGCCTGTTTTTCCGTGGACATCTCTATCAATGGAGACCACCTCTCTCAGCAGACAGTTTTAGTATCTGTGTACCCTGTTTCTGATTTTTCTGACCAGTCAATTTCTAAACATTTGTTTGTCTAAAGACTAACACATTTGTCTTTGTTTACTCTTGCCTTTGGATATCAAGACAACAATATTTTCTCAACACCTTTTATCTTCTTGAAGATAGTCTCAATGAAAACAATTCTTATGGCTTTTCCTAAATAAAAAATTTTAACCTCTAGTGATTTTGACTTTTCTTATTTAGGAACTCTTCAGCCCCCATTCTCACCCTTTTTTTTTTTTTTTTTTAGGATTTGGGTGAAGATTTACAGAGTAAATTCACTTTTCATACAGCAGTTTACATATACTTTGTCTCATGTCATTGACCAA